ATAGGCCAGACCCCAGCAGCAAGCTAACCTACAGTTCGGAGTGTCTACCCCCTGGTGGTCAGTGCACATCATAGTGAGTGGTTGAGCAGCCTTAGCATATTATGCTCTGATTGGTTGAACGGCTGACCGGACACTTAGCATATTAGGCTTTTATTATATAGGATTATAAATTTTGTTTTCTGATCATCATTTTCTATACCTATTGGAAAAGTTATGTAAAAAAAAAAAAACATGACCAACAGCTCCCAAGCTTCACATATATAGCAATGGCATAAATGTAGAATAAGACAGGTCAGACCCCCTTGTGTACCTTTCCTCCCCACACTATTATAACCATGACACAAAATACCAGGCAGCACAAGTAAAATGGTAACCCCAATAAAAAACAAACAACAACAACAAAAAAACAGATGAATAAAAAAGAGAACAGATGATAATTAATTTTTAGAATTAGAAGAGAACAGTCTTCCATGACAAAATTAAGTTCTCAGGTTCTTTTTTTGTTCCTCGTTTTGAAAAATCTGTTGGCAAGTCCCAGCAGGTACAACTAAGAAAGGTCAAAATATATTTAGAACAATAAAATAAAACTCACTGCTGTTTCCTGAAGCTGTTATAAAATAAACAAAGCCACTATTAGACATGGAGGAAACTGCCCAATTTTTAACTTTTTAAATACTTATCAGAAATGACCAGTAGTTACAGTTCATTAATTTAGACTAATAGGAGTTCACTCAGATGTGATATAAAGAATTTAGGAATTACAAAAAGAAAGGTTCATTATAATCATACATATATAGATATATATACATATATATAAAGTTTTTAAAAGTTCAATTAAGGTAACAATTTATTAACTAACCAAAGTTGTTTGAAACATTTTTACAAACACAGGTTAACTGACAATTAACCTACTAGTTATTCATATATACATATTGTTACTAAGGTCTGGAATTTCCTATTATGAGAAATAAAAAAATATCCTATTTCACTGGTTTGAATCATCAGTTTCTGTTACTTTTAGCTAAAACATCTACAGAAATGCTTGTGCATGTATCATTGTATGCCAGTTCTATGTTACTCTCTAGTATTATCTTATTCACAATACCCACCATCCAATCAAAAAAACATGAGAATGCAAAGTAGAAAAAAAATGATCCAGAAGCAGACCTATATATAAATCAGATACTGAAATTATCAGATTAAGAGTTTAAATGAATCCCTAGCCAGTTTGGCTCACTGGATAGAGCGTTGGCCTGCAGACTGAAGAGTCGAGGGCTCCATTCTGGCCCTGGTTGGAGCTCATGTGGGAGACAACCAATCAATGTGTCTCTCTCATATCAATGTTTCTCTCTCTGTCTCTACCCTTCCCTCCCACTTTCTGAAAATCCATGGAGAAAATATTCTCAGGTGAGGATTAATAACAACAACAAAAAAGTTTAAATGAAAATTGTAAAACTGAAAAATAAGATGATCTAAAATGAATTCACTATTTTGGTTTAACAGCAGACCATAAGTTAGACCCACACACACATTATCACTTGATTTTCACCAAAGAATCCAAGGTAAATCAACAGAAAAATAAAGTCTCCAACAAATGGTACTAACACAACTAGACAAACGTCTACGCAAAGGAATGAAGAGCAGAAATATGTGCGGTAGTTCCCTAATTCACGGTTTCACTTTCCGTGGTTTCAGTTACCTGTAGATATGAAGCATCCCTCTGCCCAGCATATTCACACTATAGACGCTACCCACCCATTAGTCACTTAGTAGCTGCCTAGGTTATCAAATGGACTGTTGTGGAATTGCAGTGCTGGTGTTTAAGTAACGATTACTTAAAAATGGCCCTAAACACAAGAATACTGATCAACCAAAGAGAAGTCATAAAGTGCTTCCTTTAAGTGAAAAGGTGAGTACAGTAAGATATTTTGAAGAGAGACCACATTCAGATAATTTTTATTACAGGATATTGTTATAATTGTTCTACTTTATACTAGAGGCCCGGTGCACAACATTCGTGCACTGGGGAGTGTGGGGGTATCTAAGCCTGACCTGCAACATCTCCAATCTGGGAGCCCTCAGGGGAGCCCTCTCCAATCCGGGAGTTTCTGTCTGCCTTTGCAATCATATGAGCAAATTGTCTGAGACCCCAAATCAGTTTGGTTTGTTGCTCACAGAATAATAGAGGCATTTTTTTTTTTCTTTGCTTCACTGGTGGAGATTTCCTGGAAGTTTTAGGATATCTTCCCTTTAATTTTTCCTTGACACTCTGATTTTACTTATGTCTCTCACCTTTGCTTTCCCTCCATTCCCCATCACAACAGTAACTTGCTCCAGGCTCACTTTGCTCTAGTGTCTAGATCTGTCTGCCACCAAAACTACTATTCCCAGAATTTCTGGTGCTCCCCATGATCTTGGTTTTCCCTTTCTGCTCTGTCTCCGTCCCATGGCCTCCCACTCTGACAAGCTCTCCCTCTCTGCTCTCTACCCGGCGCCTGTGTATGCAAATTAACCCGCCAGCTTTGTCGGGTTAATTTACATACTCACTCCTGATTGGCTGGTGAGCGTAGCAGAGGGATGGTCAATTTACATGTTTCTCTTTTATTATATAGGATTGTCGTTTTACTGTGCCTAATTTACAAATTAAACTTTATCCTAGGTATGTATGTATAGGAAAAAAACATCCCATATAATAAAAGACTAATATGCAAATCGACCAAATGGCGGAATAATCGGTAACTATGATGCGCAGTGACCACTAGGGGGCAGATGCTCAACGCAGGAGCTGCTCCCTGGTGGTCAGTGCACTCCCACAGGGGGAGCGCCACTCAGCCAGAAGCCAGGCTCATGGCCAGCGAGTGCAGCAGCTATGGTGGGAGCCTCTCCCACCTCCTCAGCAGCACTAAGGATGTCTGACTGCCGGCTTAGGCCCGCTTCCCATGGAGCAGGCCTAAGCTGGCAGTCAGACATTCCCTGAGGGCTCCTGGACTGCAAGAGGGCACGGGCTGGGTTGAGGGACCCCCTCAAGTGCACAATTTTCGTGCACTGGGCCTCTAGTAGAATATATATGGCTCTGTATCATCCACTATTTCAGGCATCCATTAGGGGGTCTTGTAACATATTCCCTGCAGATATGGAAGGACTAGTGTATATTCATCTTATTGTTCTTGCCACACACATTTCAGCTATATTATAAAATAGGCATTTGTACACCAATTGGAATCCTTGTGGTCTTTTGTGTCTGGGTTCTTTCACTTAATGCTTTCAAGGTTCTTCCATGTTGTACCATGGATCAGTACTTCATTCCTTTATATGGTTGAACAATAGTCCAATGTATGGATTTAATTTATCCATTCATTATTTGATGGAAAATTGGGTTGCTTCCACTTTTACATGAACACTTGGGATACAAGTTTACCATGGGTGTGTACAAAATTACTTTTCAATTTTCTTGGGTATATATCTAGGAGTGAGCTTGCTAGGTTATATTGTTATTCTATAATTTAATTTTTGAGGAACAGCGAATTTTTCCAAAGCAACTGAACTATTTTATACTTCCACCAGAACCATATGAAGACTCCAACTTCTCCATATCCCCATCAACACTTGTTATTATCCTTCTCTTTTTATTATGACCACTAGAGGCCCAGTGCATAGATTAGTGCACAGGTGGGGTCCTTCGGCCTGGTCTGCAAGGATTGGGCCAAAACCACCTCTGCAACATCCCCTGAGGGGTCCCAGATGGCAAGAGGGTGGTTGTCAAGTGACGCACCCTGGAAATGGGCTCCCTCCTCTCTGGTTCAAGGTGCATCACCCCTATGTTGAGATGTTCCTGCATTGAGTGTCTGCTCCCTAGTGGTCAGTGCACATCATAGCTACCGGCCGGTCGGCAGGTCACTTGGCCTTTTATATATATACTAGGGGCCCGATGCACAAAAATTTGTGCACTCGGGGGGGGGAA